AGGCTCTGAAGATGGCGCTCACGCCGAAACAACGTTGTAAGCCGCAATATGACACAACTGTTTAATAAATATGATTTAACCCAAATACGAAATGTTGAATCTATTAGTAAAAAACTAATCAACGCAAAATGGGCAAAAATATTTAATGAAGTTTGTATCGCTGAGAACCTCGTACCAAAATATATATTTTATTATCAACAATTTATTAGGCGCATTATAAAATTGAAATTTCTCGAAAGCGCTCTCTATTATAAATTAAATCAGTGAAGGTCAATAAAGTACAAATCGATAAAGTATTTCTATGTCAAAATAAATATGTTTTTAAGTTCCTATTAAAATCATCAAGCTTTTTTAGTTCAGGCATTCTGAGCGATTGCGGAAGACTGTTCCAGGCAATTGGTCCTGACACGAAATATTTCTAGTTGCAGTTTGTAGTTGAGTAGTTACAGTGATGACGAGTACTTAAGTACATTTGTACTTAAGTACAGGATACTGATCTATATATTCTATATCTATATCTGATCTATATATTCCTATCTCATAGTATCTAAGTACTACATTTGTACTTAAGTACAAATGTAGTACTTAGATACTTATACTTAAGTACATATGAAAACCTGTACTTAAATACTTATACTTAAGTACATTTTTCAGTACTTGTACTTATAAGTAATAAATTTTTCCTGTAAGTACCAGAAAAATTTTAAGCAAAAATAAGATAATGTCAACATTTAAAAATTGAAAACTGTGATGAAAACACACACACACATTTTCACATTGACATTCTTGTTTATCTCTCTTATCAACATTTGTTCTTGTTTAGTCATGGATAGCGGGATGTTAAGATAACCATTGGCTAATTGAGTCATTAAAAGGTGGTTAACTCACATCACTCTGACATCTATATATCTATATCATAGATGTTGATGATGATGATGATACAGAAATGACTCCAGTTGAGATTGGTGATAAGTTTTTGGAAAGTAATATAGATGACAGCTCCGGAATTTATCTTCCTTCTCATGTATCTTGCTTTTCACACACTCTAAACTTGCTTGCTACAACTGATGCAAGTAAAGCTTTGAATAATGATTCAAACTACAAAAGAATATATAGATCAGTATCCAGTAAGTGTGTCTCTCTCAGCACCGCATCACACCAGAGTTCAAAAGCTGCTGAAATTGTGCATGAAATCTTAGGCAGAACAATACCCAAACCGAATGGGACACGCTGGAATTCTGAATTTGACTGTTATAGCATTATATATAGTCTTCGCGATAAAGTAAATGTTGTGATGGAACGTTTGCAGCTGCCGAAGTTCAGCAATATAGATTTGAGTTTTCTTAATGAGTGGTTGGAACTGATGAGACCAATTTCACTAGCATTGGACAAGCTCCAAGGTGAGGTTTCAATGGAGTCTTATTTTGGTGCTGTCTTACCAACTATATTTGTTATACAGCGAAAACTGCAATCTTTTACTCCATCGTACACTTCAGCTCTTGTTTCTGCTCTTCAATGTGGCATGGATAAACGCTTTGACGATATAATTGACTTTAAAGATATTTCAAGCACCAGCAAGATGAGAGCATTTGTTGTGGCTTCGATCAGCCATCCGTTTTTTTAAAATCAGGTGGATAGAATCATCAGTTCGTGAGCAAGTTGAAGACTTGTTTCTAGCAGAAGTGGTCAGAATAAGCAATTCTTCAACAGTTTATGAAGACAGAAATACTAGAGGTTGTACTAGTGCAGATTTTTATTGTTTCCACGAACCAAGTTCCGAATCACGATCGAATGAAAAAGTTGAAGGACTGCAATATCTTAGTGATCCTTCATATGATATGGAACAACTCAAAAGGTAATCAATATTTTTCTGTAATATATTATATATGTATAATATGTATATGCTTGATTTTCTAATACATTTTTATTCTCAAGTATTAATAACAAATTAATAATTTGCTATTTCGGTTAACAACTATATTATTGTTCCTTAGGTATCCTGCTGTCGCACAAGTGTTTTTGAAGTACAATACCACTGTGCCATCATCAGCACCTGTGGAACGTATATTTAGCCAGGCTGGAATGATTCTCACTCCTAAAAGAAATCGTTTAAGTGATGAATCATTTGAAACTTTACTTTTACTCAAAAAGAACAAACTCTTTTATTGATGTAAATAAATTACTGTAAATAATGAGTTGATTTCTGAGTTTAATAAATTTATAAATATTTCAAATTAACCATGGTATGTACTTAGGTACTTATGTACTTAGTACTTATACTTAGTACTTATAAGTATCAAGTATACAATTTGTTTTGATACTTAGTACTTATACTTAAGTACTTTTATTACTGAGTACTTAGTACTTATACTTAAGTACATTTTTTGAGTACTTACGTCATCACTGAGTAGTTATCACTGTCAGTAGGTTGGCATAGTCTGATCTCAATTTTTCACCTGTTGAAGAAGCTGGTTTTATAAAGATTTTTAGATATACTGGTAACAACCCGTTTATAGCCTTATACATACAAAGTCACACAAATCTTTTAGGTGATTCTTTTTTTCACTGTTAGCCAATGTAGGTCTCTTAAAATGGGTGTCACAAGGTCATATTTTCTACGTTGAAAGATTTTATTTACTAGATATACTGGTAACAACCCGTTCATAGCCTTATACATAGTCACACCAATCTTATAGTTGATTCTTGTTTTCAATGTTTGTAAATATATATATATATATATATATATATATATATATATATATATATATATATATATATTATTGGTAAACCATTACTCGCCATAGGCCAGACGTACGTTTCGTCTCCCAAGAGACTCGTCAGTAGCCTGCCGAATAAGGTTTAAGATAACACAACTCAATTATTGTAACCAAGAAACTCAAATTGAGGTGTCGCGACCAATAGGTAAGAACATATATATATATATATGTTGGTAATAGACCATAATTTTTACAATATTCTATAAATTCTACCGAATGTATATTAACGCCAAACATTCGGTAGAATTTATAGAATATTGTAAAATATATATATATATATATATATATATATATATATATATATATATATATATATATATATATATATATGTAAATTATATTTCATATAATTATCTATGTTTAGGTATACTTTGAATTTCTATTCTATGTTTGTAAATTATGTTTCATTACTTTGGTATTATCTTATATATAAATGCAAATAGCACGAGGTTATATTTTATTATTGCACGTGGTTATATTTTATTATTGTTGGCTTTGTAAACGATCATGGAATTTAATTTTTCTATTTTAAGTTGGTTAATCATTTATAATTTCTGTAATATTTCATATTGTTTCAATTGATTTTATTTATGTTCTTTATTCACTCATTTGGATTTTCTATTTTAGATTAATAAATCAGGTTATTCGAAAGCAAACTTATAAATTAAATTCCAAAAAGAAGATGGCTTCAAAAACAAGTAAGTTGTATTTTCATATTATTAAAAGAAATAATGACGAATTTGAATTAGCGGGCATATCGGAAAATAAAGAAACATGGTATGTCCTATCTGAAGAGAAGAAAGATTTAAGTTTGCACGAAGCTCTATCTACGAAGCGAGCAATAATCAATACAATTAATTCTATCAAACCTATCAACGGTTATCGCAAAATTTGCATCAAACTCGATGATGAATTGAGAAAAGAATATTACGACGAAGACGAAAATCTATGTTTATTAGATAATATGTTAGAAGAAAAAATTACTGATAATAAACATAGAGATGAATCAGATGACAATTTTTTAAATGAACGAATTAAGGAATTAGAAGCTAAGCTAAGTTTGAATGATAACTTTAAGCTGCAAGACGATGAAAAAAAATTTATTCTGGAAAAATTCAACAAAAAGCAAAACCCTACTGAATGGATAGAGAAATTTGAAAATGAATGTAGAAGGCATAAAATACTAAATCTTACTAATGTCATAGAAACATTACGCTTCTTTTTATCTGAGTCACCGAAAGATTGGTACGAATCAAATTTAAAAAAGGTCGGCTTAACTAATTGGTCAGAATGGAGAAAGTCCTTTCTGACCATTTTTGCAGATAGAGGTTGGAAAAAAATAAGAATCGCATATAATTACAAATATTTAGACGGTTCTTTAATAGACTATGCCTTAGCGAAGGAAAACCTATGTTTAGAAATTGAAATGTCGAGAATAAACATGATCGTTATGGGCCTTCCTGTAGAAATACAAAACCAGCTTGATAGAGAAGAAATAACGACCATTGAGAAACTGTTCAAAAAACTAACAAAAATTGATGAATGCGTTTCTAACATCAAGCCGAAATATGACAATAAATTTTTAAGTAATGACATACCATACAATACGGATGTCAAGACAAAGCAACTTTATCAACACAAACAGAGATTTGAAAATGTAGACAAAGAAATTTTGGTACCAAAATACAAAGTAGAAGCAAAGACAAATAATACTCTAAAATAAACAAAATCAAAAATTTGAAAATAACACTCTAAATAAAGAAAATTTTGTTAGACCAAATTTTATCAGGTCAGAGAAGAATATTAATACCACAGCAAATAAACCATGTTTTATGTGTAAAAATTTGGGCTGGAAAAATCGATACCATCCAACAAATGAATGTAAAAATAAGGCTCTTTACTCATCAAAAAGAGAAATTAATATTCATGATACTAACTACAAACAGATGACGAAGCACATATGATGAAAATTGAAATTGACAAGAAATCTTTAAACTAGAAAGCCCGGGAAAATTGAATGCACTGATAAGAGTAAACGTAATAATCGATAATAAATTAAAAGTTAAAGCGGTTTTTGATAGTGGATCAAATATAAGTCTAATAAATAGGAAAATCATAGATATTTTAAAACTAGGCTTAATGAATAATAAAAGTACTTTCAAAACCATCAGTGGGTTCAATTTTAGTTCGGCCCGGGCAAATATAGTTGTTAAGGTTGGTAATTTAACGGATAATTTAAATACATACGTAGTCAAAAATAACAATTTTTCCTATGACCTATTACTGGGTCTAGATGCAATAAAAAAGTTCAAACTAATTCAAGATGAAAACTTTAACATTCTACAAAGAATTAATAAAAACAAGATCATCAAAATAGAAGAAAGAGATAAGATGAATAACAATCACAACATGGTTAAATCAGATGAACTGACTGACAACCAATTTAATCTACAAAAGGCAGAAAAAAATAATTTAATTAAAATTTCAGAAGTCAGATTTAACGAAAATATGAATAATACAATGTGTGAAATTTAGACCACATTGAAGATGAAAATAGAAGAAAAGATATTTTAAATTTAATAAACAAGTACTAACATATGTTTGCAAAAGATAAATATGATGTAGGAAAAGTGAAGTCGAAAGAAGCAGAAATAAAATTAACTAGAGATGAATATGTAACAGCAAGACCATATAAATGTTCCATAGTTGATGAAGAGGAAATCAAGACTCAAGTCAAGAAGTTATAAAAAGCTGATTTAATTGAAGAATCGGAATCCCCTTATGCCTCGCCAGTAACTCTTGCTTTTAAAAAAGATGATGGTCGTCGGACAAGACTTTGCATTGATTTCAGACGATTAAATAAATTAGTAGTTCCTGAATGCTATTCATTCCCTACTATTAATGATGTCATAGATAAAGTACCAAATTGCAAATATTTCACTGTACTTGATATAAATTCTGCATTTTGGTGTATATTATTAAAAAAAGAAGATAGAGAAAAAACTTCATTTATCACTAAGTATGGAAAATTCATGTTTAAGGTTTTACCCTTTGGTCTTAAAAATTCTCCAGCAATTTTTCAACGTATTCTATCCAATATCATAAGAAGAAATAATCTGGACAATTTTTGCATTAACTATATTGATGACATACTTTATATTTTCACGCTCTTGGGAAGAACACATTATTCATATTGAAAAAACTCTACAAATTATCACAGGTTTTAAATTAAAATTAGAAAAAATGTAAGTTTGCTGCTAAGACCATTAAATATCTTGGACATTTTATTCAAGAAAATAAAGTAGCACCAGCTCAAGAAAATTTAATCGCCATCAAGAATCTTAAGAGACCAACAGATAAAACAGGAGTTAGAAGTTTGTTAGGATCTATTAACTTCTACCTTAAATACATCGAAAATAGTGCTCAAAAATTTGAACCACTGCATAAGCTCTTGAAAAAAAAATGTTAAGTTTCATTGGTCCCAAGATTGTGAAGATTCTTTCAACTTGATAGAAGAATATTTATGTTCTAAGCCAATCTTAGCCATTTACGATAAAGCCAAAGACACTTATATTGAAACTGAATAGGAGCTACTTTGAAACAACTACATCCTGATGGTATGTTACATCCTGTCGCATACTTCTCAAGAAAATTATCAAAAAAAGAAAAGAAAATGGACATTATCCATCTTGAATGCAAAGCTATTAAAGACGCAATAAAATACTGGCAATATTATTTGATTCGTCGTGAATTTGTTGTTTGTAGTGACCACAAACCTCTAGAGAATCTAAAAACTTAAAGTAGAACAGATGAAATATTAGGCGATTTAGTGCACTATTTGTCTCAATTCAACTTTAAAATTATTTATAAGAAAGGAAAGGAATATATAATGGCTGATTTACTTTCTCGATCACCAGTATTAGAATATTTTGAAAATTAGGATGCAGTACAAGTTGTAAATTTAATTGAAAGACCTGAAATTTTTCAGGATCAAAATGATAACATGACTGAATTAAAGAGTGCCAAGAAGATTGAAAAACGCCATGGTATTATTTACAAAAAATTGAAGGACAAATCAAGGATATTTGTTTCTGATAAATTTGGTTTAAGAATAATAAAAAAGGTACATGAATATTATGGACATATTGGAGCTGGAACATTGAAAGAGAAAATAAGACCATTTTATTATTTCAAAAACTTTGATCAACTAATTGAAGAATTTTGTAAAAGTTGCACTATATGCTTAGAGAACAAAACTAGAAGAAATAGAATCATCGGATTAATGTCAAAACTAGGACCCGCGACAGGAACCATTCCAAATTTTTCCATGACACA